CTCGGTCTTTAATTTAGGATAAGTCTGCAGAACCTTACTAAGCACCTCCCAGTTGCGAAAGGTTTCCTCCCATGCGGGCTGGACTCCGTGCACACAGTGCTCGATCTTGCGCAACAACGTCATAATGCGCTTCTGCAGCATCAAGCGGCTCGGCACACTGCCATGGCTGTTCTCAAAGAAGCAAATGCGCGTGTCCGTGGCAGCTAAAATATATATATTTTTTTTTAGATAAACATTCGTTTGCAATCAAGAAATACCATATAGCTCACATGAAGAGAGCTGCGCCAGTTCTTGGTAGATGTGATAGTTGGGCATGATGAAGCCCACGGTTAACTCATCAGAGCTGCAGCAGATCTCCGCCTCCTCGCAAAGCAAACCAAAACAAGATAGCGATGTTAGGACCGCATCTAAGTCCACGCTCCACAAATACATAAAGAAGACCACCTCCATTTTGATGTGCGCTTGCTTGCATATGGCAATCTGGCTGCCGACGTGCGCATAGTCCTTGTGCCTCTGCAGAAATGTGTTGCGGCAGATGAGTATTTCACGCAGCCACTTAAGCACATCCGTATAGTTGGCTATCTGATGTTGTATGAGTTTCTGGGAGATGGAGAACAGCACCTGCGAGCTGACATCCCAGAATGTGTTGATTGGTGCCTCGGGATTCCAGACTTCAATTTTCTCAGGCGCATGCAGCGCTAGCAAAGCTTCCATGGCTTCCTGTGCCACATCCGGCAATGTCGTTTGATGTACCAGGCTCACCAGGCCATTTATAAGCTCTAGCGTTGAGCTTTGCACCTCATGCGCTACTTTTCCCTGCGTCTGGAAAAAAGGGTGATTGTAACTTAGTTTATGCTCTTCACACATTCATCGACTTTAGTATTAATTTACATTTAAAAGCAGAGTGGGATCAGCGTGTATGAGCCGCACGAGTAGCAACAAGAGCATCTTGTGTGCTGGTCCCTCCTCGGAACGTGTCAGACCCTTTTGCGTGTCTTTAGACTTGAGTGTTAAGGAAGTTATGTACCGCAGCGGAGTGTGTGCTATGTAGCCTTGCGTGGCTTTATTTAAGGTATCTGTGAAGAGAGCTCGCAGCTCAGCGGAACGATAGTGCACGACATCGGTCTGTGGCCACCAGGGCAGACGCGGCTGGTTGACTATGCGAAAGGGATTCTTGTTCTGTAGCCGAAAATCCACATAAATGTGAGCCAGACTGAAATTTTAAATATTTATGTTTAAATAATTGTATGTTGTTTATATTTTAGTGTTTTCTCACCGCAAGAGAGAGCATACAATAACAAAATGATATGCCTGTGGTGAGGACAGATTCAAGCAGACCTTCAGAGCCTCGATGTTGTGTGGACTGATGCGAAAACATGATACCCAGCAGTCAATCATTAGCTCAATGTCGGCATAATTGTAGCCTTGACCACGAGAGAAGGGTTTTATGGGGTTGAAGAGCAGCGCCTTGAGATCGTTGATAAAATATTGTACCAATTTAAAGACCACATTGTTGGAGTCATTGATATTGATGTATGTGGATGCTTTGCAGAGTTTTACGCAAGCTATGGCCGAAGATTCGGTCACCTGCTTCGATGGCGAATGCGGACCCAAACCACGCTTGATGCTCTCAATGAATTGCCTGGCCGAGAAATCTTTGTCACGTGAAGTGGATTGACTGGACTTTGAGGGCACCTTTTCCTTTTCTTTCTCCTTCTCCGACTGCTGCAGTTCATTAACAGTGGCCTCCAGGCTGGAAGGATTCAATATGAGCAACAGCATTTGCAGTGGCCAAACCAAAGTTTTGCTCTTCTTATTTTCCGATTTGAAGTATTCTACAAAATCCAGCAGTGGCTCCCAGCAGCTGAAATACAGATTGTTTCGTCATAAAATGTGGCAATTAATTTTTAGGCATTTACGTTGATATGTCGCGATTTGTTCCACGCTGCAGGTCCTGAAATTCCTGCGGGTGATACTCAATCCAGTTCCAAATGGCTTTCTCCAGCGAGTAGAGCAAAATGAGCGGCGGTGCACGCTTTGAGCGAAACTTGGTTATTGTTTCTACAAAGAACTAGAAATTAATAACCAATTGAGCGTACTTGAAGTGGTTTTTTACCCTGCAACAGCTTGGTCAGTTTGATCATGTCCATGTCAATGTGCTGTATCAATTCAATATCGTTGTAGTCGGGATTTTCCTCGGAGCACGATGTCAGCTCCTGTATTCGTGCCGAGATTCGATTAAATACGGCCGAGAAATGGTTCTGCGACAGTGCAAACAGCACCTTGGACGCAAGCGCCTTTAATTGAGCTGCATTGGGATTGTTGTCGCTTTGTACGTCCACAAACTGTGAAATTTCGCGCAGCAACAACTTCACATTCATGGCCTCCTCAAAGCGTGCCGTATCCTTGGTTTGGTTGGTAAGACAGCGCTCCAGCGTGGTCAATATGATGACCAGAGATTCAAAGTAGCAGCGTTCCGGCTCATAACGGTTTTGCAGCGCCTGAAAATTCATATAATTAGCTATTATTACCATATATTTATATTTATTTGAGTTACTTACAGCCTCGTTGACGCGTTGCAGCATCTTGGTCAAGCCGGAGATGACCAGAGAGAAACGATAGCGCGAGATGTGTATAAGGCATGCCACCAACTGGTCCTGGCTCATGCGCGCTTGTGTGCCATAGGCTCCAATTTTGTTTGGCAACTGCATATAAAACACATTTCATTGATTATTTTAGTATATGCACGAGCAAAGTGCTGAGCAACTGCGTCGCAGCGTTTGCAACAACCCGAATTTAATTACTTATACATAGTTTTAATTATTTTGTTTTAAATTAAATTAATTAGATTTAACATCTTATTGCTGAAATATTTGTCATATGTTTACATATGTATATATATAAGTATGTGTATTTGATTAAGTGCGCCGACAAGGGTATGTACGCTTCTAGCTGTCATTCAAAACACAGCTCGACAGTTCATTCATAAAGCTTCGCCGGCCCTACTGCCGCCCATAGCCCCCTTTACACCCACACTCACACCAAAACAACATCAGCAGCAGGTACATTTTTTTTCACTTTGCTTGAGAGCATCACAACGCAACATATTGAAAATGCTGTAAAACGTTTACCTGATCTTCGAATCTTGCCAGTAGACCAGACGCCCATTCTCCAGGCTTTTGGGTAGCCATATTGGGTTTGTTTAAGAAATTCTAAACTTTTTTCACTGCATTTTTTAATTTTAAAAACGACGAAGTTTTGCAATATAGAGCTGTCAAAACGTTGGCTGAGGTTGCAATGAAAGAGAGCAGCGAGTGTGTAAGGAACGAATGGGAAAAAAGGTTGCGCAAAAAAGTGAATCCACTTATTCTCTTTGTGTATGATGCGATATTATTTAACTGCAGTATGAACATGTACCAATTATCAAAAAATTTTAATTGTAACGGAATTACATGATTAAGTTTTATAAGTATTTTGATGATAATATTAAGAGGAACTTTCAGGTATGTGACGTCAAACTTTTTCGTATTTAAGTGCGGAATAGGAGACCTTCGCATAATATTCTCATGCCTATGATTGGCGTTGATAGATATCGATACTTTTGTGTTGGAGGGAATTGCTTTCTTTGAATTTAAATCTAGTATTCGAGTCAAACAAGAATCCAAAATTTTATTTTCGCAGTGCCATTTTTTAAGAAATTATCTATTTTAAAATATACGCTCATTACAATTAGCTATTACTTGCTTATTAAATGCAACAAATTACAATAATAATATTCGATATATTAATTATCGATTTACTGCTTATGAAATTAGTGCTGCCAAACATAGAAATTAAGAACGAACAGTGCTGTCAAGCAAGAAAAGTGCTGCCCAGTCCGTATAATGTTAGGTTACAAAGCGAACGTTAAAGTTGAAATTGTTAGGAACAGCAAGAATTTTTTGCTGGCCGATTTTAATTTACATAAAAATAATCCGATTTGTTGTTGTAAGTATTGGTAGTTGTAGTTTATTTAATGTTTATTTTTATGCATAACAAATTTGTATTTTTCTTTAAGTTTATTGAATTTGTCTGGTAGTGTATGTTACTTTTTGCAGCTGTTGTGTCAATCTTTGTGTGGGTCGTGCAAATACATAATACGTATTTTCAAGTTATATAATACTAATTATGTATGTATATACTATAACATTTGTTAATACATATTCAGCATATCGAGCGTATATACGTAGTTATAAATCGATTTCATAGTATTCTGAAGTTACGGCTTAAATCGTACCAACTCTTCATTTTCTATATTGTACGGTATAAAGTTTAGTTTTGCTATCTAAAAAACAAATGTACAGTCGCAATATACTTATTGAAAACTTGCGTTATTTTTTAAATAACATCGCCTTAGATGAAAAATAAAAAGTTATTAACATATATCATTTTTTTTTTTATATGTTCGGGTTTGTTGGCCGTTTGGGAAGTGTTTCGTTAGGTTTTCGTTTTTGAGGGAATCAAATAAGTGCATAATAAATATAAAAGTTTGGAATATTATAAAAATTGTTGTACAATTATTGTTGTGAGCTTGAAAACAGTTATGCAAAATTTGTATGTATATCTTGCAGCTTGACTCTTTTGATTACTCTTGCATTGAATATTGTTAAATGCAAATATTGATATTCGAAAACTTACGTATTGATTTTCACTTGCATTTAAGTAGGTATATATATGTAGTTAAATAGATTGCATTTTGTCAAGAATTTCTTTTTGGTTTGCGTATAAAGCCTTGGTATATTGATGTCTAGATATGGTTTTTGCATTTTCTATTAATTTATTTTGTTTAAGTAACTCTTATTTGAACCCTTAATAGATATTTCTCTATAACCTTTATTGATTTATTTGTATGTCATTTGCAAATGGACGTTTATGAGTATTCAATTTCTGAAAAAAAAACTAACATAAAAAAATGGTGGAATTATATCAAGTATGATAGTCGTTGTAAATCATTTTAACACATATTGTAAGATTACTTAATTGTTGTTGCATTTATAAATTGTTTTTTTTTTTTCAATTTGCGTTGATTTAATTTCGATTTGCGCCTAAAAACTAAACGGTTTACTTGAAATTCAATTTCAATACAGTGCGGCAGCCCTGCCGTTGAGCAGGCCTGACAACCCTAAGCAAGAGTCATTACGAATACTTAAGTTAGTGCTAGAATTTTGCGTTTCTTGTTCTCTCAACTAGTAATAAAGACTAAATTTAACAATTCCTTTGGGGGCTTCAGAGACTTATTGGGTTATCCAATTTGTATAAATTTTTTTGTATTTTTCTTAGGTTCCTAACTTAGATCGTCCACACCTGCACCTTCTCGGCCACAACGCACCAGCTGGCGCGCTCATAGTAGGAGCTAACAATGTGGAGACTGGCCACATGATGATTAATTAGCGCGTCCAGCTCGCCCTCACGGAACACGTGGTAGAAGCGATGATGTGTGGTGGCCCCACCCTGCGAGGGGCTGTCCAGCGAGGTGTTTGAGCTGTTCGATTGCTCCAGCGACTCGGTGGAGGTTCGCTGCTGCAGCGTTTGTTGTTTCTCTTGTTCCTGCTGTAAGGGGGGAGTTTCCGTTGAACTGGATGCACTGGATGTCACCGATTTGATGGCGCTAAAGTTGCGCCGCCGGTGTCCATACTCGTGCATGCCCTCGCCCAGCTGATCGCCGCCGCGTGCCTCCAGCGCCTCGGCATCCTCATCCTCCTCGGGTATGGCTAATGGGTGGAAAAAGTGTTATAGCTTAGAGTTCCAAGCATTTGATATTGCCTACTCACCATCTTCATCATCGCGGACATCGCTGTCCCCATCGTCCTGCAGCAAGTAGGCCGTCTCCGGATTGAGATTGTAGCGGCGGTTGCGTTTGTAGTTGAATTTAGAGAACTTGCAGTGCTCATAGATGCCCAGCGTGTAGCCGGGCTCGTTCTCCTCATTCTCTTCATACTCGCCCTCCTGCTCCTCGTGTATAGTAAAGCTGCGTGTCTGGGAGGACAGCGATGATGTGGACGACGATATGGGCGACTGCTGTAAGCTGGGCTGCGTCGAGAGATTGGCCAGCATCAGACGACGCTCACGCAGCTCATCACGCAACGCACTCCAATCGCCATTGGAGCGCTTCTTGCCACCGCTCAAGTACTCGCCAATGTCACCGATGCCGTCCAAGCTGCGGCACTCGGCCCGATTGATCTTGTCGTCCAGTTCGCGCTGCAGCTGGGCCGTCAGCTGCTCGGCAAACTCGGCGCAATCGTACGGCTGCTGCGCCTGGCCAGCTTCGCGCTTCTCCGGTAGCAGCGGTGCGCTATCCGCATTGAGTATGATGTCATTGCCATTGGTCGTGCCATTGTTGATCTGCATTTCGCCCGTGTGGTAGTGCTGGGTCAGCGCCGTGTCCGATTCATCGCTGGACTTGCCTGTGCCGGTGCCGGGCGCCGAAAGCAACTGTGCCGAGCGCGGCGCGCTGATCACACTGTCAATGGAGTCCGGGGAGGAGGGCTCACTAGAATCGCTGTCCAGATCATCGGTAGCGGGATTGAACAGCTCCAGCGAGAGCAGCTTGGTGGCGCTGGTGCTGCTGCTGCCCGCCAGACCGGAGCCCGAGGCACGTCGCACTATCGGAAAACTCTGACGTTGCAGCTGGAGCGACTGTTGCTTGCGGAACTTGGGTATGGGCGGCAGCTCTCGTATGGCTTGGCGTGTGATCCTTGGAATAGTCGGTGCCTTCGGCTGCAGTTGCTCCTGCTGCTGTTTGATGTGTGCTTCGTCAAAGCTAAAGCGTGCCGGCTTTGCGACTGGCGTCAGAATGGCCATGGCTGCCGTCACTGCTGCCATGGACTGGGGCGGCGATGTGACTGCGCCCAGGATGGCTGCTGGAGAGTGGGCGGGCGTCGGCGGGCAGGGCATGACGAGCGGTGACGTTGGCACGGAGTGAGTTGGTGGCAAACGTACCAGAGAGCTGGTCGGGGCAGTTGTGGTGGTTGCCGCTGCAGCAAGTGCCGCCTGGGCTTGTCCATTGCTGGAGCTTGAGTTGCTGGAGCTCGAGTTGGAGTTCTGGTGTTGTTGCTGATAGTTCAACTGCTGCTGTTGCTGCTCCGGCTTGGGTATGAAGATGACCGAGGCAAAACTGTCCTCAGATTCAATGCTCGTATCCGACTGCAGGCTGCTATCCTTGGACGAATCAGAGCCGGATTCGCGCGAGTGCCGGCGCGCGCTGCCCTGCTCGCTCTCTGCGCAGGTCACACAATCCTGCTGGTAGGCGCTGCAGTGGCATATGTTGGGCGCATTGCAGTCCACGATGCTGCAGTAGGTCACCGGGCCGCTCGTCGCGCTGGACAGCAGCAGATGGGCCGGGAACAAGCTGCCAGCATTGCTCACATGATGATGATGGTGATGGTGCTGGTGTTGAAGCTGTTGTTGGTTAGCTTGTTGTGCGGGCGCGGCGGGCTGCTTGTTGTTGTTGTCCGCCTGCTGGGGATTGGGCGACACCGGTGCGGGCGTTTGGTTTAGCGGTCCATTCTTAATATTCTGCATGAGCTTGGTTATGCCCGTTTTGGTCACGCGCTCCAGACTGTCCGTAGAGCTTTTTATTTTGGTGGTGAAACCCTCACGTATAAGCTGCAATCGCTTGGAGAACATGGCCGAGCGACAAAGGAAGGCCTCATTTAGCGAGGTCTGCTTTTGTATGCGCTTACGCACCCGCTCCTTCTCGCGCAGTCGATTGCCAGCCATCAGCTCCTCGTTCAGAGAGCTTTGTTTACGCAAAAAGCTTGGCTGACTGCTGCCGGGCCCCGCAGGTGCATCTGTCGATTCAGCTGCAACCGGCGGTGATGCTGTGGAGGATGCGTTTCCATTAATATTGGCCGCCGCCGCCGCCTGGCTGCCGGTGGGCGTGTAAAGGCTGCTGCTGACGGTACCATCGGCCCCATTGTAGCTGCTGATCACGGGAAAAGCAGCGTTGGCGCCTTCAACTGCAGGCGCTGGTTCGCCCAGCTGCGATATACTGTCGTCCTCGCATAGCGACTGCTTCTGCTTGATTAGTTTGGGGCGGCGACTAAGCGTGCTGCCCGCGCTGGCGGTGGTCGTGGGCGAATGGTAACCATTGAGCTGCAACTGGGTCTCGGGCGCGCTGGTGAGCAGAGCGGCTGTGGCGCTGGCTTTGGTCTCGCCGGGCACCAGCGGACCACCCAGACTGGGCACACTCGAACGCGAACGCACTATTTGACGCGGTGGCGTCTGCAGAATGCTGCCCAGGCTGCGCGATTTCAGGCCAGCGGAGAGCGGCGGATCCGGAAAATCCTCAAAGTCCTCGAGGCGACGCAGCTCAATGGGTAGATCCTTGGCATCCTCATAGTCCAGGCTGCTATCGTTCTTGGTGTCCTTCGAGGTCCACGAGTCCATGAACCAAGCTTGACGACGCCCGCTAGCCAGCTTCTGCAGCAGAAAATCATGTTATCCCTAAGGATATATAAACTGAGGTACAACTTACTTGTAGGGCGCGTCGAACAAAACTATAGCAGGACTCGCCTGGCGAGGATGAGCTTAGGCTTGAGCTGTCGCCATCGCCAGCCGAGCGACTCGAGTTGGTCGAGTCCTCCGTGTAGGCATGATAGGGCGGCAAAAAGTCGTTGTCATCTTCATCATCGGAGTACGTGCAGGAGAAGGTGCGGTTCTTCGGTGGCTGCCAAGGTATCAACACGTCCTGTGACTCAAAGCGTCGGTGCCGCTGCTCCAGCGCCCAAACCGTGATGACCACCCGCCCGCCAATGCGGAGGATACGCGCCAGCTCTCTCAGCGCCCGTACTCGTCGCTCCGTGGTGGCAAAATGGTGGACTACAGCCAGCGATAGCACCGCATCGAAGCTATCATCGCGGAAGGGCAGCTCCAGATTGTCGCACAGCGCCACCTGTGAGCCAAAGAGCGCAACATGATTATGAATAACTCGATTGCCAAGGGAAATGCGACTCAGAAGAAGCTGCATGCCGGTTTCCCAGCAAATTTAATTACGGTAAAGTCGGCGCCCACGCCAAGGCGTGGCAAGCCACTTCCTTGCAACCCCGTTGCAAAACCCTTGAGTAATCTATCCCTCAACGTCCCTCCACCTGAAGTGTGCTATTGAAATTGTGCAGCCTGCAGTAAGCGTTGGGCAAGTAGCCAGCCAAAGAATTTTGCTTCATTTTTATAGCTTCGCTTAATAAATTTCACTTGAAAAAGCTTAAAAGCGAAACGTTTAGATTAAGTACGCAGAGCGGTTTAATCAGAAAATGTATGGCCATTAATTATGCTGCTTAAAGCGAATTTTAAGGTTATGAGTTTGTGGTTCTTCCCATATTTGATAGAATTCTCGTATGGTCTCAATCTTCATGATTAAAACTGTTTGCCCTGACTGGCTGACTGCATGACTGATTGGTGATCAACCTGAAAGAGCTCGGATGCTGAAAACTTTACTAAAGACACCTGAAGGTGCAGGCTACGATTTTGGGAAAATCCACCCGTAAGTGTGGAAAAGTCACGGAAAGCGGTTGTGCTTTATTATTTAACATCCTAAAGGCTTCAAACTCATTTTCAAAGATCTTTGTTCTAATTAATTTCAGAGGTGTTTCAAACTTCAAACTCAAAGGTTGAGGGGCGAAGCTTAAGGGGTAAACTCATTTGGAAAATGGAGATCAAGAGTTATAGGGGCGATGTCATATGTCTCATCCGATCTGCTTCAAATTTATTTTTAAAACATTGAAAATTTTACCCGTAATTATGGAAAGTTAATAATTTCTAAAGACCTTTTTGTGAAAATTCGTTTCCACCCCTCTTGGATGGAAAATGGTTGCATTGAAATTTTTGAATTTTACAAAAATGAGGAATAGATGTCCCAAGCTTGAAGCTAAAAGCTTCGACAGGCCCATTCCGGAAAATAAAAGACTGATCGCCTGGTGAATCATACATAATTACACTCGTGCAAATCTGTGAACGTAATTTCTTTCGCTTGAAATTTGGAATATGTACTTAAGTATATTCGCGAGAGACAACGTGCTAAGGCCACGCACACTAAGGACGCCGGTAAACCGCGAAAATTGATATCTCCCACAGCTAAAGTCAAGAATTTTGCAGGTGCTACTATTAATGACCTTCACAAAAGATCGATTCAAAAATCAATATCTGTTAATAAACTTGGCAAGTTGCATGTCATTCTTACTAGTACTTCGTTAAATCATTCATGCCAATAAATGTTAAATTTATTTTACAAATTAAACAAAAGACTAAATGAGTTCTGATAACTGGGTCTTAGGTAGAGCTAAGAAATAAGGTGGGCTTACTTTAATCATTAATTAGATAAATACCATATCTCGTTATTGATTAACATATTTCAGTCCTAACAGAACATATGGAAGAAAAAAATAATGATTACGAAATAAAAATATTAAACAATTTTGCAATGATTAAATTTTAGTGAATTTGTGTTTGCGTATACCTTCTGCTAGTTGAATATTTTCGAATGAAGAATGAACAAAACTAAAGAGAAATATTGCCAGTAACTGCAAATCAAAGAAATTGTAGAGATCTTGAATATTATAATGCACTATCAAGTAATTAAGATTATAATTATCAACATTTCTTGAGAACGCACACAAAGCTTGCTATCAAAACTTCGCAAGAATGGAATTAAAAAGAGACACGCAATGTTTTTTCTTCATAAAAAGTGCTTTCATTCAATTCCTAGCAGTTGGCTTAATTCCCAGAAGGCTTTTTGGGAGCTACCAGTTTGCAACAGCAGTTTGCAATTAACAAGAATTTCGTTCACATAGATGGGTGTAAACAAAGTTAACGCGCTCGTCTGATGAAAATTGGCACTTGGTTTAGTCAATTTGCCATTGAAGTGTCGGCACACAAACACACACACACACACACACACACACACACACACACACACACACACACACACACACACACACACACACACACACACACACACACACACACACAAACACACACACACATACACACACACACACACAAGCAATCATACACATACACATACACATACACAAATATCGGTTAGCCCATCTGCATTGAGTTGGTCTTGTTTTGGTGAGCTTCAATTGAAAAAGTTGGGAACTGTTTTTAAAATGTTTTTCCTGTAAACTGACCTAGCCCAACTGTGTGGAAGGTGTGTGTGCGTGTGTGTGTATGTGCATGTGTTTTTCTGTGTATTTCTTTTTTATAAAGATGTGCGTCATTTATATTCATTTCCATGTCACGGCCATCGCTAAAAGTGTCAATTAAGTCTGACAAAAAAGGGAATAAACAAAACTTTTACAAATCGAATGTGTGTGGGTGGAAAAGCGTAAAGTGGTTGGCATTTCCGCGTAACCCTGCGCAATCATTTCTAGATTAATTTCCAATTTCCCATTAAATGCAATATGAGAAAACCCACCGTCAATTGCTTAACCATGTTAGCAAATCAACTTAATGGGGATGATAAATGTTATAAGCTTTGTGAGCTTTGTGTTTGCAATTTCTATTCTCTCTGGGGCTATATTTTTTCGAAATATGTATCTATTTATTTGGACTATCTCTGGGTGCATATATTTTCTTTTACTGCTGCACGTACCACAAATATAATTTGTACACTGCAATAACGCTAATATCGTTCGGTCTGTATGTGTGTTACTGCAAAACCCAACAGCCTTGACCTGCTAGGCAAAAAAAAAATTCAAGGAAAATTATTCCTCCCTCTCATTTTCTCTGTATGTGCAGCGACAGCTGGCCAGGTACTTGGCCATGTCAGACAAGAGCCTATGCAGCAGACATTGCAACTTAACTTGTGGCAAAACAGTTTTTAGCAGAAAATGTCAATTAAGTTAAGCATTTGGCCGCCGAGAGCTGCAAGTGCAGAGATCGTGTAAACTGCCAACAGAATGCAATGAAAACTCGGCTAAGTTCTCACTAAAGTTACAATGCTATACTTGGAAAACTTTCTCTTGCTTATGTTGTCAAACTCAGTTTTCTTTTCCTATGAGTACATATATGTCAAATGTTACATGAAATAAATGAATTGTAATTAAAAACATTTCGCATTTGACAGGTAATTTGTAAATTCTATCAAATGCGTGTTGCCGCTTCTTCATTTTACGACTGGGTGAATGCGTTAAAGCAGCTTGTTAAAGACTTTGAATAGAGTGAAACTCAGACTCTCTGTGTAGTCTGCTTTATAGTATGGATAAGCTATTTTTTTTATTATATAATAAAACGTTCACTAGCTTTAGATACAATATGCTGCTGTCTTCACAATATATTCATAATACATATTCTACGGCACAATAAAAAATATTTTTGCTGCCCACTTGTGGGTGTTGCATATGACAAAGTTTGAATTAAACTGCATATGAAAGTGCCGCACATTTGCTTTTGACTTTAGTGCTTTGTCCAAGCAGCTTTCAGCAGTGCAAGTTTTTTATTCGTGTTTCTTTTTTTGTTGTTTTTTTTTTTAACACATGTTCCGGTGCCATGAATGCACGCTTTGACATTTCTTTATGCTCTTTACAAATTGTATTTATAGCAGTCGCCATTTTTTATACGTACAGATACACAAACACACACACACACACTGGTCGAGCACATTACGCTTTTGAAATTGATGTTGACAAGTTTTCAATGCAGCTCTGTTTTGTTGCCGTCGTGAGCGCCAGGTGAAACATGTTACGCATACGCCACGTTGCACACTAATGAGGCCAAAGCACAGCACAGCTGAACTGACGGCTCAAAAGAGTTCCGTGAAGTAAAAATGAAAAAAAGCAACTGCAAATATTAATATGTTTACGCACGTGTACTTATGTACATTTGCTTGGCCTTCTTAGCCAGCAGCTTATATAAATTAAGCTTAAACGAACCACAAAACAAAGAAAGTATATATATTGCAGTCGGCTGCCACCGACTGCAAAATACTCGCTCACAGAACGCAAGTGTACAGCTTAAAAGAGGCTACCCGGAAATAGTATGGCCGGACGGGCAAATAAAATACCCCCGTCGTATAATTTTGATTGAGTCTGTCCTGATTTATAATTGTTTGAGAGAAAATGCCCCAGACGGGCATCCGCCTTTCGCTGTATAATGTATTAAATACCTAGTTTGATACAAAAAATTAAAAAAATTAATATTTTAAGAGATCTACATTTTTTTTTTAATTTGCCACGTCCCCTATCATAAGGTCTTTAGAGGAGCTCATCTGTAGTAACTCCAATAGAGGTATAGATTTTGCGATTGGCCGCGCCCCATATGATCCCTATACGGCAAGGATATACAAGCGATTGAGTTTTTAGTCTCTAAAAAAATGAGTTCATGCGGACAAACGGACATTGAACACACCATATATACTCTTTTTACTTTGTGAGCGTGTATTAACAGGTGAGAGCGCAGCTGAAGTTTTCCAATGAATTTGCTCGGCTGCATTCGACTGGCACAAAACTGAATGATTTCGCTTGAAAAGAGGAGAAGGCAGAGAATCTTGTTGCGCTCGTTTGGGTTTTTATACCCTTTTAGAGTGTATTCTAATTTTTTCATGATACGTGGCACGCATAGAAGGAAACGTCTCCGGCTCCATAAAGTATATATATTCTAGATCAGCATAAACAGTCGAGTTAATATAGCCATGTCCGTCTGTCTGTTTCTATGGTAACAATTCTCTCGCATTGAAACTTTGCAGGCAGTACATATGTCGGAACTTTCCGGATCGGAACTATATCATATAGCTGCCATATTCCTATGGCAGTGGATCAAAAATGGGGTTCTTGTATGCAGTAAAGGAAGCGTTCAAAAAATGATTATATTCTCTTTTTCAAAATATTTCCATCAAACTGAGCATTTTCGAGCTTCACTATTCTGTTGCCAAATCGTTAAGCAAATGTCAACAAGTGTATTAAGTCTTCGGCGTGCCGAAGATAACCTAAATTTTTCGTTTTTTGTAGAGTTTTTTGCTGCGCCGCTTTTTTATGTGCTTTTCTGGCTTCTGTTTTTGTTTTCAATGCGTCATTTCGGGAAGCAACAAAATTTATGAGCGCTTGACTGCAGGCTGTTTGTGTGCATGTGTGTGTGTGTGCCTGCATGTGTATGTTAGTGCATGTGTGTGCTATTTGCTGAATGCCAGCTGCATATTCTGCTCCAGTTGGCAGTTTATCGCTTTACAAAATTATAGTAAATCAGACCAAGCACGAGTTGTGAAATCAAACTTGTCTGACAGCAGCTGAAAGTTTTCCTACCAGCGGCAGATACATGTGTATGTGCTTATAAATATAGTTGAAGCAAAGTTAAATTGGTTTTGCGCATAGTTTTGTGTTTTTATACCATGAACCCATTGAAATTCGCTAAAAAGGGTATAATGCTTCTGTGTAAATATGTGTAACAGACAGATGGAGACATATCTGGCTGACTCCAGGTAGTAGTATAAGTGGCATCAATGGCCAATTCGAACTATGAATAAATGCCGGATGAATAAAGACGTCGATCTCGGAAACCATAAGTGTTAGAGACTTGCCCGCACAGTACTTGCTTTCTTGAAACAATCATAGATATCTTGCCCATTTCCATGAAATCGATAAAAAACGATATCGAATCCTGTTTATTGAGTATATCTCGGAGCTAGACTCACCAAATTAGACAATTATGTTAGAAAATTAGACTTTGTGACGGCAGCTTGACGCGGAGTCCAGGAAATCTCCTAGTCAGGCACTCCCGTCCAGGGCACTCAAACTTGTTTTCCCCTACAGCTTTTCAGTTTTGGTTTTTGAAAAATGGCAACAGAAACATGCTACAGCAACATACCGTATTAGTTTGCAGGTCACGTGAGTTGATGGTGCGTTTTGCATTTTGTACATTTGAGTGCATTCAATGCACAGGGCGGACACACATATTGCATATTATCAGCATTTGAATAAAACCAAATTTGGCATATACTATTTGGGTAGCACTCAATCGAAAAATGCTCTTTGCCTTTAAAGATAATAATGATACTGCAGACAGAAACATTATGATTTCAACATCATTTATCTAATATATCAGCCAGCCGAGCAAAATGCAACCCTAAAAGATTTAAATTTACTATGCAATTCTATGTCGAGCTATATTGTTTGACCATTTGTTTTTGGGTGCATAATTAGAATTCACTATACATTTTAGACTAAATCCTATAGATTGAGAGGTCAGTCCAACAGTCTTAAGTTTTTACTCAGCCATGATAGTTTCCTGATCGAATCTTTAAGATGTAATGGAAAGGTGGCATAGATTAACTGAACCCGACGATTGCTTGCATTGGACTAAAGAATAAACTCTATATGGAATTGAATGGATGGAGCGACTTGTAAGCTGTGTAAAGGTAAATTTTCTGTTATTACAACGAAAAGCGCGTTATTTATTCTAGGAAGAAGAAAGCGAATGTAATTGCTGCTAATGGATGGCATCGGAATGTCAAGTACATAACAGTTGTAACAATCAAGTAATCATAGGCACCTTGCACTGCTCTTCTGTCAATTTAATGATGATGGGACTGGTTATTATATAAATGAAACCATTTAGACAAAATGTATGCACTTTGCAGTGTGTCGCATGTAACCAGCTGAGATGGCAGCCCTGGCAACCCGCCTGCGACGGCAGGGTCGGCAGCGTCGGCGTTCTCGCTGTGTCCTCGTCGTCATTATATGCGAAGTTCAAACCCACGCTATGCCAGCAAATGCAATTTAAATGCGAAAAATGCCTTCAACTAAGCCTAGGGGCGGGCGGAGGGGTTGGATCCCTTGTCCGTGGAGTGGGGGTTAGTATGCATTTCTTAGAAAATGGTATTTCTTGCCTGGGAATGGCACCATAACTAAGCGAAGCGAAGCGCAACGAAACGAAGCGTTTGTAATAGATTATTGCAAAAACTATTGCATACCTCTGGGAGCGAGCGATTAGGGTGGGGGAGGGAGGTGGGCAGCGGCAAAATTTATTGTTTGCTGCTATAAAGAATAGGAGCTATTGGGGATCAGCAAGAACAACAAAAATAAAACACAACAATAAGTGAATAAAATGCGCATTACTTCAATGGGAACTGCGTATTGGAGCATTGAATGGAATTTCTAAGAGAAACAGAATTTATATTCATTATTGGAGAAATGCATACTTAAAGTTACACAACCTATTCTGAAGAAGTCTTTGTTTAATATATCATTTAAGGATTAACCATTTAATCAATGGTTAGAAATTCCATTATTTTGTGCATCCAATTTCCATTTAAATAGTTTAAATGGCTTGGCAAATGTATATCGGTAGGTAGGTGAAAGCTCCCTCCAGAAACACCATTCACAAGGAGAAAAAGATTAAAATTTAATTTATAAAAGTGTTTCCCCGTATATTCTGCAAAAGAGTTTAATTTAATTTAAAATTACTCCCATTTAAATCTGGACTGAAACATAATAAACAAACGAATTTTTGGTTTTAAATTTCACAATTCTTGCTGTTCAGCTACCAACTCCTGGTCCGACTCTGTATTGATTTAGCGTTCGCTTTAAATGCAATTGTGCAGCACTTGACAGCAGCAGAGACGGCTGCACTTTATTAGTTGCTCTCTAATGGCTAAAACGCTGTTCATTTTATGGCTCCATTGCTGGCCATTGCAATTACGAGGGCATTAAAGCTCAGCGCCGGCTATAACAGAGGGAACATGTGAAAATAATTTCAATGATAAGCATAATTTATGCGTTGCATTTAAGGCGACTGGGCCAGCAACGAGCGCCCGACTGGGCCATGGCTAATATTTGAATGAAGCGCACTGTGTTTGCGCGTTGAGGCGAAATGGGTCAATTGTATGGCCAAGAATTGCAGTAGAGGCAAGAATAAATAGGGGAGAGGCAGAGAATGTGCTGCATAAATGAGCTATTGTTGGCATGGCAAAGAAATATATGTGTGTGCACATACACAGCCATCTGCAATACCCTCGAATGGAGTAATTTGCTCACATCAATTACAATTTTCAGGGCATTCATGACCCTCACCCCACCCGACACTCACCTCGCCGCCCTTCCCGTGTGCCACCTTGCTGAGGCGATAGCAGCGATCGACGCCAATGGTGCAAATAGCGGGATTGCATTGCCCAAGGTAACGCCCACTGCCGCAGCCCACGTCACAGACCACGGAGCCGGGCTCTAGGTTGCCCAGAAATTGTGCCACTCGCGGCCGCACCGGGCCCGTTGGCTCCTCGCAGTGCTCATAGACATCGTGGACGTAGGCACGTTCCAAAGCCGCCGAACGGCCGCTGGCATCACTTGTCGGAGTTGTTGTTGTTGTTGATGTTTTTTCTTCTGATGCAGTGGCCTTTGTTGTGGGCTGCGATTGCGTCTTTATTGTCTCCGCTGTTGCAGGCGCTGCTCCATCTGTTGTTGTTGTGGTTGATGTTGTTGCGCCTGGCGTTGTGGGCGAAATAACCGTTGGTGCCAAATTAGCCGTATGTGTTATGCTAGACGCTGCATTTGTCGCAGTTGTTGTTGTCAATTGTTTGGTCATTGCTGCTGCTGCTGCTGTTGTTGCCACTGTTTCCTTAGTTGGTGAGCAGGCTTTATATGTCGTTGACAGACAAACTTCATCTGCGCGAGAAAGTGAGATAGATATAGGAAATTCATATTAAATACAGTTCTTTGGGGACATTTGGGTATTATAATGTGTGACGCATATCAAAAAATATATATATACTAGAATAGCAACAACACCCGAGTTGATATAGCCATGTCTGTCTGTCCGTTCCTCTGTCTGTCTGTTTCTAAGCGAACTAGTCTCACAGTTTTAATGTTATCGTCGTTGTACTCTTGTCGTAATCGGCCGGATCGAAATGATCGGTCGAAAAAACCTTTCTGCATGAAAAACTTTTTGTTTTGCCAATCTTGACTTTGCGTTCCCCTACTGACTACTTGGATATTGGATATTTTCACAAATACTCAGCATTTACGATTTCTACCCTATATATCTGCACGATCGTTAGCCATATGACTACAAGGATATTTAATCTTCGAGGCTGTCGAACGTAGCAGTTCTTTCTTTCGTTATGCTTGTAGCAATATGAGCTACAACTTCGTATAATTATATTCTGGTTTAAGGGGTTAGCAAATATTGCATCTACTCTTCAAATGTTAATATTTTAGCTCAAGAAATGTCTTCCTTTATATCACAATATTAATTGCATTTTAAGAGGGTTTGAATAATGTATATTTAACATAAAGCCATTATTATCATTAAAGGTAAAACATTAAATGAGCTCCGCTAAGACTGAAGCCTTAAGTTATGTTTAATGACAGATAAATATGTTGGCTAAAGTCTTTAAGCTTTAGACTAGAGTATTCATTCCCTTCATGACATATTATTCAAAAACGTTTCCCTTTTGCTTTTCATTACTTTATTATAGGTTAAATGTTGATTGCTTAACTGTTAACCCAAAATTTCCAAGAAATACAAACTTTATTGGCTAACAAAATGCAAACTGCATGGTTATTTATAATGTGCCAACAATTTGTATAATTAATGCAATTTGGGTCGGCTAATAGGAGCCATAAACTCAAAACTTTCGCCCCTATTGCATGCATAACAAAATTTACAATTGCACACTTGTGGGTGTGTGTGTGTGTGTGTGAATGTTTTGTTTGTTATTGCACTTGTTGTTGCTCAATGCATGACATCAAGTCGTAAAATCGTTACAGCAACGTCAGAAAAACCCACACAAATACATACGCACACACACACACACACACACACACACACACACGCACGCGCGCGCATATCTAGAGAACTATTGTCAACGCCGTCATTGGGCAACTTGCATACCGGAAATGTAGAACTAGCATGAGTTTGCATTGTTGTTGACATTTTATAACTGTATTTCCGGTGCCAGTTACCGTCGACGCTGCCCAAAGCGCTTGTATGCATATTTGAACACCCCCAGGTTCCAAGAAATTGTCAGCGTAATGAATTGCTTCACGAAAGGTGAGTAAACGAAACGGGATTCATGAAGTGCTGCGAGTTGGGCTCCTAGGCCTAAATATGGCAAGAGCGAAAGGGGGGCGGCGGTGATTGTTTTCAGTGGCCACTGGGGCTGTGCGCGAGTGGGCGCCAAAGCGCATTAGCGCTGTAAAATGCAATTATAATTGAAATCTGATTAAAAGCAAATATAATGGCAACATGACGCAGCGTTGCAGCCAGTTTGTGTATAGCACAAAGGAAACATAAGATAGTGTGCGTGTGTGTGTGTATGTGTTGATAATTGAATGTGCGGGTGTTAATAAGCGCAGCAAATGAGCTTTGAATGAATTTTATGACATTTTAATTAAATATGTCAGGCCTCGTTGCGACAAAGAGTTAGGATTGCCCAGGAGCTGCCACTGAGTAATTAAACCCATTATACGCACATTGAATACATGCAAATTATGTTATTAAATGCACATTACAAAAGGTTAAAGGAATGTTAGTTAGTCAACAAGAAAGGAATTTTTGTTTGTAATAGCTTTACCTGGTCAATGGAGGCGATGCGTTAAATTGACTTGAATTACAATATAGCAATTTATTACTTTTGTTTAGCACAAGAAATAGTAAAAAATACGATTTGCCCTAAATTTTTTCTTTTTATAAACGCAAACTTCCCAACTGATTGGTGGTAACGAAGCCAAAATTTTTACTGAAGCTGCCTTTGGGAAGCATCAAGTCGGCTTTTGGAAAATTCGATCTCCAATAATCATCATTGAACCCATCGAAACAATGAAATGGAAAATAAATGGGATATAACAACAATAATTAAAACAAGAATAATTATTTAATCTTATTATTCGACGGCCAATTAATGTCCTTCTAGTAATAATAGTCACATATATCGAGCCATGGGCGAGGCGTTGCTTTGAAACGTTGAACAATTAGTAAAAAACCTTTGTTGAGTTTTGCGGTCATGATAACTAACAGAAATTTTTAATGAAACAGTCCTTACAATAGGTTTCGATAAGCCTTTCTCTTTCTAAAGATCATTTCAATATAAAATATTCCTCACATTTGGTTCTACATATTTGTTTAACTGCTGTCGCGTCATTTAATGAACATTCATTAATATTTATTATCTTTCTATCTTCGCCGAATCTTGTGATGCATTTAGCCATATGTCTTTAAATATCACACATACGCTTAGTAGGCTCGCGCACAACGTGCGTATGCATAATATGCTAAAATGTGTCGAGTGCTGTTTGTTGTTATTGTTGCTGATGTTGTTGATGTTGTTTAAGGTGCTCACCTTTTGTTAGGCCGTTGGTGCGCTCATAATTCGCATTCCACAACGCCGTCGACGCCAGTTCCGCTGATAACATGCGATGCTAGCAGAACGCAGGACGAAAAATGACTTTACGAGATTGCCAATAGACAGAGGATGTTCCTGTTTATATGCTTGTTGTTGTTGATAATGTTGCTGACGGCGTTGAGTGGGAGAGCAAGAACGACAGCGAAGGCAACGGCGACGCGTCAAAAAATCAATGTGCATGCATAATTTAAAGTCAGTTGTCAGTCGGCACTTGGTTTTTGAATACGTCGCCGACTTTGACTTGAAAGTGGCGTTGTGTTATTTTTAGACTTTCCAACCGGGCCACAATTTATACGATAATTTGCTCAATTTTGTTTTGAAATCTATCATTATAGCAACTACACGCCGTAATTGCTATTGCTGTGGCCGTTGTTGTTGGCAGTATTTCTGCTGCTGTTGCTCCTGCTGCCGTTTGCTGCTTTTGTTGTCGCTACTGCTGTGGCAAAGGACATGGACATGGACATGGACACGCGCTCGCTCACACACAAAATAGGGTACACAAAATGCTTTTTGCTGCTCCTGCTGCCTCCTTTGTTGCTGTTGCTGTCAATGTGCCTGCCAAGCGACAGCCTGCCTCTGGCATATGACGTTTCCTTTGTGTGCGTGTACGTAAGTGTATGTGTATGTGTGTGTGTGTTCACTAATGCGTGTGCGCCCGTGAGTAAGTGTGTGATTTTTGCTTCTTACAGGCACTTTTCACTTGCACTTTTCATCAGCAACCTTTCACATTTAATTCTCTTATTTATTAATTGCAACTTTTATTTTCACGTATTATTTCTAGGCCACTGGCACTTGGCGCTTCAAATTCTTAACACAAACTCTCTGCGCGTCTGTGTGTGTTCGTGTACATGTATATAGTGTGTTTTTGTCTGTCTGTGTGGGTTGCGCGTCGAGTTTGCCGCTGTCGTGTGTGTATGCCATGAGTTAACGTCGCGTACTGGCCACAAAAGCACGCGCATATCCTTTTGTTCAAGGATGTTATGGCAATGTGGATTGCATTCGCGAAGCTTTTGACTATAACAAATATCGAAAGCTTCAGCATACAGCTGTTGTCAGAGAGGGAAAGTGATTGTGGAAATTAAGAAGGAAAAGAAGTGAGAGAGTCAGCGACCAACGCAAATGGAGCAGACGCCATTGAAGATCCTTTAAATTACGTACATTAAAAATAACGATAGATTGTTAATGGAATTATAAAAGTGCTAGAGAATAATCATCGGAGGTATAGTTGAATAAAATATTTTTTTTTTTTTATTATAAAAAGCAAACAGTTCTTAAATCATTTATTGAACATTAGGCGTCTAAATTCAGACCATGGCATTATTTTTGAATATTAAACACAAATATGAAACACACAAACAAAAATGAACCGAATTTGTATTGAATAAAAGTAGAAATAAAAATCTAAACATAGGATTTTCTTCAGATATTGAGGTTAAGAATACCGTCTATTTTTAGTTATCATATAAGTAAGTGAATAACAATATCAAAATCTAGAATCAATATAAATTGGATTTTTATTAGTGGCAAATTTGATTTCGTGCACTCTCTGTCCTAAAATAGCCAAGCTCTGGGCAATTAAAATAAAAAGCTTAATCGCTTTGTTTGTTTCCCCACGTCAGACTGTCAAATTTCATGAATGAATCCCCAAGCAATTGAAGACGCAGTTAAAGCACAGAAATAGAAATAGAAATAGCAGCAGAAACAAAAACAGAAGCTTCGTCAAGTTGGCAGCAGGGCATGAGCCGTACAACACAGTTGGGCAGAAAATAGACCACGATTCTGAAATTTGCGCAGCGCAGACTCTACACTGAGCGCCACACGCGCGCACACACGCCACAGGATATGCCGCTTGCGCTCCGCTCGCCTGATTCTTTTTGATGAATGAAAAGCTTTTTGTTTGCCCAGCCGCTATCTGCGTCGTAAGGCTGGTGGAGGACATTGGTGGCACAACTGCATCCCTAAGCCCCTATGTCTATGGCAGGACATTTTTTGTAGGGTCGACTGACGTTGTCGCTGGTGTGTGTAGTAAAACCAAAGCTGCCCTGGGTTCTGGCTCGTTGATGGGGTGGTTGGATGGTTCGGTGGCCGGGAGGCCAACTGGTTGCCCGAGCGTCATATGGCTTTTTTTGTAAGCATGACTAATATAATCAAATGGCCAACGCGACTGTGGATATGGCGTCGAAATTTTTGGCGACATGCCAATGAGTTTAGCAAATGCGAGTTAAGCAGCCCGACGACAGATAACCTTAAACAAAATATGTATTATGCCGCACTGCGGGGGAGTTGGCATGCGTTGATGTCGTCACAAAAGCCTGGTGAATCATACAGCCGGCAAATGTTTGCCTTCCGTAGCGCCTTTATGGCCCTCTTGGCATGTGACAAATGACAGGCAGACGCTCCCCCAAAAAAAAAGAAAGTAGAGTACAATAAGCCAGATGTCTCAATTGTTATTGGCAGGAAGCTTAAGCACTAGCGTCGGCATCTGCATAACACGATAGTTTGGTTAAAATTATAAAAGTTTGCGACTGTTTTTCGACACTGGTGTAGAGGCAGTAATGACAATATAATATTGAGCTATTGTCCTGTTCGGCAGCAGCTGCAGTAGTATCTATTATTTGTATTAATAATGAATATATGTGTGCATATACATATATGAACATATATATATATATGTATATGGCATTGAAAGTTTTGCCATTGCCTTTGGCCGGGCACGCTTGGCATCTAACGAATGCGCCATCATTAGTTGCGTTCCAGTCATAAATCATAAACACCCTGGCACAATGTACATGTTTATTTATGTGGTATGGGTCGTTAGGGGAGAGGTACAGGATATGCAGGATGGACTGCACTGCTAATAATGTCACGTAGCAGAGCTTTTGACAGCCAAGTGCCACACACTTCATTCACAACTTAATCTCCTGTCGTGGGGATCACTGGCAATTATAATAGGAACCCAGTCAGCTCTTGAGATTTGCAGAGCTTTAAATATATAATAAATAAGTTGTTAAACATTCAGATATCTTAAAACCAATTTAATAATCTAAGCATATTATTTATATTTTGTATCAAATTTAATTAAAAGCTTATGCTAAAAACCAATACAAGACATTTTGTTTATTATCTTATTTAAGGTGAAGCAAATCTGTGCAACTACAAGAAAAACGGCTCAAGGAGCAAAGCGCGAATGTCCTTGCACTGCCGTTAGCGAATATGTTTTCTTCTCTCTCTCTCTCTCTCTCTCTCTCTCTCTGTGTGTGTGTGGGTGTTGTTGGGCAAATGGAGTGCAAATTATGCCGGAAATATGCGAGAAACAAGGCGCAAACACACAGTCGCTTGTGTTATTGTTGTTGCTGCTTCTTCTGCCTTTGCTGCTGCTCGCCGTGGCGCCCCAAAAACTATGCAACGAAAATTTGCCGACCAAATACTACTCGCTGTTACCAGATAAAACTTGTCGGCATAACTTAACTGCCTCGTGCGCCCACCAACGAGCCCCTCTGCCGTCCGTTAAAAATCTCATTTTTAGCGCGTGGCGATGGCGGCTAAAATCGACGCCTTTTTGGACGGTCGCGTGTTCTTGAGGGACCTTGCAATGTTGCCTGTTTTTTTGTTGTTGTGGCGGACTCTGGTAGCCTCTTTGGCTAAACGAATAGCTCATATCTTGTTGCGCATTCTCTCATGTGGCACGGTCAATGTTCGGGTTGGACACTGGCGGCCTGACGTCAGCAGCCCACACAAAAATAAAAAAAAACTCCGCCTCGTTTCAAGGCCAAACAATGGGCGCCAGCGCTGGTGTCGCGTGACGCAAAAAGAATATTGAGTTTGTTGTTATTTTTTTTCTTGCTGGGCGTCTTTAACGAATTTCTTTAACAATCACGTGTGTGAAAAGCCAATTAGAGTTACCGGTAGAGAGCTTTTCAAGGCAAGCTTTCGGTTAGCAAATGCACAAACCAAACAAGTCAAAAGTTATCAAAGGGTCGGTTTAAAACTAATGGAAGGTGTCCCAATATGGAGTGCAAAATTGTACTTGTAGTGCTGTAAAGTGTTATATTGGCCTATTCAGTACGTCATTAGGTATGTAAAACAATTCAGTAGATGATGGAACTTGGATAACATAATAGTTTACCAAGCGTTAAAGCCCTATTCTATTTAAATCATTTGACTTGTAACACAACTCTCAAAATTGTTTATGGGGTGATAGAAATATGAATACTTTGCCAATTGAAACCAAAGCGTTCTAATTGTAATGCTTAATCAGAAATCCCACTAGGCTTTCCCAGTCTGCGTTGCTATCATTTACAAATACTTTGATTACAGCAATTTCCACATTGTGGTCATACTAGTAATTAAAAAGTTTCGCGAATAATCAACTGAAATAAATCTATGGGTCAAAATTACTCACTAGAATGTTGTTATTTTTCCATTTATTTATATTTAAGTCTTAAAAGGACTTTGATTATTGGTTCGTCAATCAATAAAATGTTATATTAACAAATAGACTACATCAATTTATTTAATGCACGTTCTTGGCGCTTTGACTAGAGTTGGAACGGAAGTTGCGGTGTGCTGTCAGAGATACAGATCCATCCGCAGATCTTTTTCAGAAACGCGTTATCTTGCTGTGGTCCGGGGAGGGTGGCAAGGAGCAGACTGATGAGCGCGAAGGACTTTGCTGTGGATGCGGCGGTGGACGTTGTGGATTGATGTTGGCATTGGCCTGGCGAAGATTGGCAAAGAATTGCTGGCGTCGTGGACCGCCACCGCGCAAAGGCAACGTGGGTATCTCGCTGGGCGATTGATGATTCATTTCTTCCTGCGAGCAGTGGCGCATAGCGGGATTCACGCACTCATAGACGCTCTGAAAGATGGAAAGATGAGAGAGGGCTGATGAATTTCAAAGAAAATAAACCTACCTGCTCGGAGGAATACTGATTGTTTTGGGCAAAGGCCAGCGAGGTGAGCGATGGCAGGGCCTGCGCAATATCCGAGCGTTCAATGCCGCGCACAATGAGAAACGTGCGTGGAATAAGTATGCCCACCAAAACTGCCCAGCCGCTGGCCTGCATTCCCAGCGGTATGGCCGCATCCCGCCACTCATCGCCAAACAGTGACAGGGCAATCCACACACTCCAGATGATCAGAATGAGCACTGCGCCAATCACAATTAAGATGCCCTCGCGATAATTTCGTTGTGAACGATAGATGAACGGTACCAGGCTGACCAATGAGCAGAGAAGCAGGAAATCGTAGGCCAGCAGGCCCCAGAGCCATCGGCCGTAGTAGATGTTCTCGCAGGAGACGCTCTCCGAGGCCATGTGCATGACGACCAGCAGCTGCACGGACATGCCCACTTGGACAAAGACGCTGAAAATGCAGATTATTGCCTGAATATAGCCATTGACGTGGGACAAGAAGCCGCCCTCAGATCCAATGGAAGCCAGCATAACAGCGCGACAGAGCAGCAGCGAGAATACAAAGCAATAGACGAGCGTCATGATGAACACACGCACGCCACAAAGGGTATTCAGAGTGTTGACATCCTCGAAGGTTACATGCGAGTTGCGCTGCTCGCCCACATACTCCATGGAGAAGGGCACAAAGGAGCAGAATACGAGTATAAGCGATAGCAGCAGCAATATGGAGGTGACTGGATTTCCCTCAAAGACATCGCCCAGCGAGATGCGCACCACAATAAACACAAGGATGGCCAACGTGGCGATCAGGCCGAGTATGGCTGCCGTCAGACCCGTTGCCACCCAGGTGTCTAGTTTGATGCGCCAGAACATTACGCTCTCGCCATCAAACAGGAAGGGATATCGGCGATTGTCACCCGCCGTGAACTGGCAGTTAAAGACTAGTCCGAATTTGGTCTTCAACTCGAGGCTGGTGTGATTGTCCCGATTGTAGTGGTAATAGGTGGTCACATTTGTCACAAAGTTCTGCGACGCAATCTCGCGCAGCTCCATGCGCGATTCGCCCGTTATGACATCGACAGTTTCCTGCTTCTTCTGGTACATCTGGAAGAGCATTGAGCTGGACAGCTTGCGCATGCGCAGCAGCGACAGCAGCTCTGCAGTGTCATGCGTACGACGATACTCCGGGGTGCGCCAGTCCTCAATGAAATTGAGAAAGTTGAAACAGCTCTCCAACATATACAGATCCTCGTCACGCTTGCAGTGCTTGGCTAGTGAGCCGCGCAGCCAGTTCATCAGATCCACAATGGGGCTGGCGAAGACTAGGATGCGCGAGGGCAACACGCTCTTGCCAATGAGCACCTCATCCAGCGTTGTGGGCATGGGATCCAAGTCAGCGGTGCGCAGTTCTATTCCATTTTCCATAAGTATAAACGACTTATTGGGCAGCTCTGTAAGCAAATGGATAATAAAACAATTCCAGCTGAGTTCCAACTGGAACTTACCCTCCAAAAATATATGTTCCGTGCGCTCCGTGGGCACAGCAAAGACTGTGCCGTTCTCCTTAAAGTGATTGGCCATCTTATTGCCAAATAGTATGTAAACATTATCGTCACTCTTGAAGTGCATCAAACACATGTGCTCCTGTCTGGCGGCATCCATGAATTCATTATATATATCCAAAGTTTCGGTCATAATTTCGACAGACGCAATCTTCTCGCCCCAGGGCATTTGATGCAGCAGGTGCGCCACTTTGGGAAAGAGATGAGCACGCGCCGAGGGTATAGGCCATACATTATACTCCAAGTCCCTGATAATCGACTCGAGACGCTTATATAGATCAAAGTCTATGAATATACCCATGGAATACTGTGTGCACTGCTGCAAATATTGCACCTCCTGTATGAGCAGATTCTCCGCCAGACTTGCATTGTCCACATTTATAGCACGAATGCCTGTTTGGGGGAATATTCAAATATATATCCCAATTTTCAATAGCTTTCGCTTTTATCGCTTACCAATTTCAAAGTCTGCAGATATAAGATTTGCCTGATTCACGCGATTGATGACAAACAGCGCCGAGACGGGATCGCTTGTTATTACACTCAGCATGACATCACCCTCAATGACCTGCACAAGCTCCTGCTGCTTGCGCACGACCTGCTCTCCATCCGCATTGGTAAAGCTTAACTGCAGTCCAGTAATGCATATCTCCGGCACCAAGCTGCCGGCAGCAGTCGTGCTGCTGCTGTCGTCGCTGCCGCCATTGCTGCTGCTGCTGGCGCTGCTGCTGGCGCTGCTGCTGGCACTGCTGGCTGTGCCCTCTGTTGTGGAGGATACCAGTAGTGCCAGCTGCTCACCAGTGGTGCTACCCTCTCTGGTCGTTGGTATTGCAGTGGTGGTGCTGCTGACTGGTTGTGGTTTCGTTATACGTACCGGTGCTGACTTTTTGGTGGGAGGGGCAGCACCAGTCGCATGGCAATGAGCTATGCAGCTTACTGTGATGAGCAGAACAAATAGCACTGCAAAGATTCGATTCGGTATTTCTTGTGTTTAATGGTAAGAATATTAATTAATGCATTATGCATTCAAAATGGAAACAAATGCAGGCCGATACTTTCTCAGACAGTTGGCAATATAAAAACGAGCCTGGGAAAATTATTGAATTCTTGCACATGTTTCATTTACCAGAGCGAGGCACTATAGACTCTCGCGGTCGCATTGCACGTGAATCTACCAATCAATAATAATAATAATAATAAAAAAATAATAATAATATGAATAATAAAAGTAATAATTATAATGATAATACTCTATTAATAAACAACATTATCGTTTATTGAACTATGTTGAAATAATGTAGTCGGCGCATTGAGCACGAATCTTGGGGCTCGAACTCCCGAAAAGAGGAAAATCCGAATAAATTATAGGTACTCTTTCAATCCCAAGATCATTTACATGTTTTGAGTTATGTAATGCATATTGCTCTTTAGAAACATTCACCTAAAAGTTACAATTTTACAGAAAAGCTGAACTCCTGCTAAGAAAAAATATGCAAAAAGAAATTAAACTGATAAGATTTGCAACACTATAAACATTTTATGGACCAGTAAAGGACATATGTATATGCCCACTTTTCGATAGATCGCCAAGTTTAAGTATAAATGGATATAATAGATAAATTTGGTATAGTTATTTATTTTACTGGACCTCAATTATGTGCTCTTTCTCGTTTTTTTCTCCTCCCCATGGACTTCATTAAAAACTTACCCAATTGTGTTGGCGATTTCCAAATGCGCTGCAAGCCACTCATGACCTTTTCACTTATTTTGCCTTTGTTTAATTAAATCCTTTTTTTATTTATTTAATTCTTGTTCTCGATTTTCTGCGCCATTCAACTTTTATGGACAATTAGCAGCATTTTATTGTCGCAATTAAAGCAAGTTCCCTACGGAAGAACAAAAATTGATAATTCTCGAAATTAGTGCCGGAAAAACGATCATCGCTGGTTCGAAATACTCGTGAATGTGCTGTGAGAATTGTTATGCATTGCTCTTATTGTGTACAATTTTAGCATTGCCATTTCGCTTTGCTTTCGGACTCTTTGGGAGAGTGTTGCACTTTAATCGCATTAAAAATGGTCACACTAACACAGAGGCGCAGACACACGCACACACATATACACAGGTGGGTAAGCTTTAGTTTGGCTTGGCACAGTTCCTTTCCTGCTTTTCACGCTTTCCATTCGTATCAGTGCAAAGTAATACGGTAGCAAATATTTTAGTTTTTCATATTTTTATTTCATTTGAAAAACGTCCAGCAGAAAATGTGCCAAGAGAGCAAAAGAAAAATCAATAGGTACCTCTCATAATAACAGGAAAACTAAAATAAAGCTAAGAAAATTTGAAAAAAAAAAATAGGTATTTTCTACGGAAATATTATGACCAGCTACTTGTTAATAGGGTCACGTTTTATTTTATATATATGTTTATTTATTTTTATATTTTTGATCGATTTTTGTTTCTTTTATTTATATGTTCGTTCACTAGAATTGACAAGTTTTAATAGCAGAATATATAGTACACTATTTGCGGGGCTATGATCCGCAGCTGTTCTGAGCTTTGGCTCGACTATCAAAACACCGAACGAGCCGAGAGCAAAAATTTAAATTGAATGCTTCAGTGATTTTAGGGTCAATTAAACGTTTGTCGTTTTATGTTTGTCCACGCAAACGTAGCACAGCACAATAACAATTCGATTTAAATATATGTATTTTAATTATATTTGTTTTCTTTGGTTTCTGTTGTTTGCGAGTTGACAATCAATTTGCGTTGCGCCTACCAACGGGTGCAGCTGCAGTGCAATTGCAACCTGTGTGTGGCACGGTAGAAAACTGTTAACAAACCGAGTCGCGTTGCAATTATGTTGTATTGGTTTTTCAGTTTGTATTTTTTTGTATTTTTCTGTTTTTCTTCTAGGTTCCCTGGGTTCTTCTGTCAGCCACCCCCGGAACAGCGATGTCGCGTAATGTTTTGCACCTGTTTTGGTTGTTTTGTTTTGGCCAACTTGGCTTAGGCCGAAGTGTTCCGTCCGTTGTTATGGTTATGCACTCAACGCTGCGGACTCACTCGTTTCGATAGTTGAGTGAAAATTTTCCATAATTACAAAAATCAACATTTTGTGACGTGTTTGAGTAGTGTAACCCCTTCTTGGACTTGCGGCAGCCGGCTGAAGTTGAAGTTCAAATATTGGTCATTACAATTAGGCGGCTGATTGAAGTTGGTTTTAAGTTACACACACACGCACACACATAGGGGGTGTTGGGGTTTGGCGGGGGCTGGATGTTATTGGTGGTGAGTCAAAAGGGCTGGAAATTCTATACATTGAAATTGTTTTTAGAAGCGCTCATTTAACGAGTTCCTAAAGTATTTGTAATAAAATATTTTTAGCACTATTTTTTAAGTATTTTTTCACGATTATGGGCTGACATTGTACATATTTATCTAGACAATTTTTCTGTAGGAAATTGCTTTTATTTTTGCTCTTAACATAAAAGCTGTTTTTAAAAAATAACTGACCTACGACTTGCCATTTTCAATAATTCGAACGTTTTATTTTCAATAAAATAATTTCACAAATATTTGTTTATTGTTACTTGTATATTTCTATATATTTTATATGTCGTTGTATAGTCTTTTGCATAGCTAAATCCCTGACAGTGTCCATGGCAAAGTGGGTAGCAAATCGGGCTAAAATCCCCAATGGGCATTGACATTGCAAGCAGCTGTTGGGTGCGGAAATGCTTAGATTGTTTTGCATAACACTTTTAATTAATGTCAACACGGTCAACAGCCAAAACTGCTGCAGTTGCAGCTCGTCGAGTCACTTGGACCCAAAGCCAATGTCATTACATAAGTTTAATTTAGCTGCTGTCGGTCCGACTTTCCTACTGTCCTACTGTCGTGCTGTCTGCTTGTCAAAATGTGACTTTGGGCGCTTTAATTACAGTTGGCCAAGCGCAATGCCAGTTGACAGTATTTCGTAGAATTTTGGCCATGCGAAATGTTCAATTTGTTTATGCAATTTTTAGTGGAGACTTGCGATATGTAACCAATTCAAACTTAGTAGGGGAGCAGCAAACGGCACTTCAGTTAGTCATTCACTTTACAGTTAGTCATTCATTCACGCGACCACGTCCACGTCCATATCCCAACTGTTTTGGTCGTAGCGCTCGCAGCTCTGGCACAGCCGTAAGCCCATAAAAATGCAAGAGCTCAGCAAATGGGGGTGAGAGGGTTGCTGGTTTGCATTTATGCATCCATGCACTCACTCCCTCACCCACTCACTCACTCACTCACTCATTCGGTCACTCACTCACTCATTCATTCATTGGGATTGTAATTATGCCTAGCTTTTGGTGTCAGCTCTCAGTGGCATGTTTTGTGCTTAACGTTGTAAGCGTTTCCATATTTTGCAGTCAATATAATATGCAGTTATTAGTGACACCGATGGGCATTACGTACCAGGTGGCCTGGTATTATATGGGTCAGCAGTAAGTAGCAACTAAGCAGACATCGGATGTGCTCTTTGAAGATGATTGTCAAAAGCAAAAACACACGTCAAATAAGTTTTTTATTTTGGGGCTTAAAATGCGATACCAATTTTATCTTTTTTAGTTAGTTTTTAGTTGAATTTAAAAATATGTCGAAGAACTCAACATAACTTATTAACATAAATTAGTAAATCATTATGGATTTCTGAGAACCATTCGATTTTCGATCAATTACTTAAACCCTTGCAATTTTTTTTTTAATTTTCTTTTCCTGCCATTCTGGCCTGATTAAAAGTCGGTATGCCTACTGCTATTCACTTTTAATTGTTGTTAAATAGAAAACGAGACGATAGAGCTTTATATATTATATTTTTAACAAATTTATTTTAATTGTTATGTTTATTTTCCTGAGGCAATAAAACAAAGTCACGCATTGAACAAATTTCATTCAATAAAAAATTCCCAAAGGTTTTTGGTGTACCTAGGCAACTTTGCTCCTTGGCATATGACATTTAAAATTTAGCGCGATCGAAATAAAACTAAAAAATAACGCAAGTTTTTCTCAGGAAAATTCAGTTGGAGTGTTGCCTTGGCTCGTGTTTGATAATTGTTCTCTGTTATCGAATGGAGCATTCATCTAGATTACTGACCATCGCCGGCGCCTTTGTTTGAGTGCTGAATTGGGAGCTTTACCCTGGACGATTGGAGCGGAGCACGTGCTGTGGTGCTGCCGCTGAACTTAACCTCGCTATCATCGCTGTAAGAGGACAGTTCGTCGGAGCTGTATTGGAAATTATCAATCTCAATCTCGTCCATGCTATCAACTGGCGTCTCCAGCTCCATGTCGCGAGCACCAGCTGGAGGAGCACCAATCGGTATGTGTGCTTTTGGCTTGCCATTGTTGTATGACGGATTGACAGCCAAGTTGGTGGAGCCAGAGCTTGTCTTTCCGTTTAACTCCATGCTAGAGAGTCCAGGTTGTGGATTATATTTCTGCTGCTCCTCCTTCATATCGCTTAACTGCATCTGTGTGCAAAAGCGTTGTATTTGCCCCAACACTTCGCGTACACCCAGTTCCGAGGACTTAACAACGACGCTATGCTCCGATGAAGATTGGTGTTCCTCCGTCGGCTGCTGGTGTGATGATTTCGAAGTGCTGCGGCATGCACAAGGATTCTGCACTTTGACACATTCGTTTGGTGCTTTCTTCTGGTTGCCATGGCCCATTTTTCTGGCTGTCAGCTGTTTGGCGGCCTTTAAATTAAAAGCAGCTGCCTGCTTGGCAACTCGTGTGGGCAACGCTGATGGCGTCGGATTTGGGTTAACTGATGGACCTGGGGCCACTTTCGGAGGCTGCCGCTTGCCGGTAGTTAATGCTTGCTGTTGATAAAACATCTTATCGTATTCAGATTTCATGCATAAATATCGAAAGTGGCGTGTGTTCTCCTCCCCATAGTGGGTCACCTCTGCAAAAGGCTAAGTGTGAGAAGGCGTTTTCAAGAAACATGCATTTACCTACTGTTGGTAACTTCACTTTGCAGCTTGCCCAAATTTTCATTGGTCATCCTCAGTTCATTCGAAAAGCGTTCCATTTTGCCAGCCAAGTCGCGAAAATTTCGTGTAACCACTTCGGAAATGGTTGTCTAGGAGAAAGATAACTGTAAGATTAGTTTATTCGCCTAGGACGCATATACTTACTCCAACGGCCTTCCTCACGGTCTGGCGTATCAGCTCAAAGAACTCCTCAGGATCCTCATCCTTATCATCGTCATCAGTCTCAACGGGCACCTGCATACCACCACGCTGTCGCGGATGGGCCGGGCCGCGTTGATGCTGCTGCTGCTGCTGATGTTGATGTTGATGCTGATGCTGAAGCTGTAGCTGATGTTGCTGCTGAAGCTGATGCTGCTGCTGCTGATGTTTCACATTCGGATGCATATGATGCATTTGATGATTATTGTTTATACTGTTGATGCTCGGATGAGCCAACTGCTGCTGCTGATGCAGCTGGTGCTGCAGCGGATGTGAATGCGGCTGGTTCTGGCTCACATGCAAATGCCCACGTGTTCGACGGGCACTCAAACTGTTCGTGTTCTGCAGCTGTTCCTTGTCCGAGAGCTCCGTTAGATTCGGCTCCAGTTCTGGATTCTGCCCGTAGACTGTGCGCTGAGTTATTTGCATGGGCATCGACTTGGCATATGGATGGGTATGTGGATGTGGACGTGTGTGGCAGTTGGCCTTGCTGTCCTGTGGCACAAAATGAACCTTCGCCTGCTGGCCGGGCAACGCTTGGCGGGCGCTAGGTTTGACTCGGCGGTTCGAAACTGAGCCATAGTTCAATACCTGTGCGGATGCCGGTTGCACCTGCATTTGGATCTGAGTCGCCTTCGAAGGATGCGTTCCGACACTGGGTGCAGGACGCATATTGGTAGAGTTCAATGGTACATTTGTAGTAATATAATAATCGTTGGCAGTTACATAACTGCGCTGGGTGCGAGTATCCCCTTGGCGGGACGAGTTAACACGCATTGTTGCTGTCTTGGTCATGCCCGGCTGAGGGACAGCCTGCATTCGGGCCGGTTGCATGGCCTCTAGTTTGGTGCCATATACCTCTTCAATGCCCTTACGTCGATTTGCGCGTACCATGTCTGTCAGTTTTCCTATAGGTCCTTTAAATGGAACTCAAACTTACCGCCAACAAAAAAACACAATTTCAAATGTAAAACAAGATTTTCTTGTGGTATTCTCATCAATAAACCTCTCTAAAGGCCTTTTTAATGCACAATGTTGTTGTTACTTGTAAACTAAAATATTGATAAATGTATAAATTTTTTATTGTCTTACATTTGTATATATCCAACTGACTGATAAGGTAAAATGACTTGATAATTGAAAACATTGTATTTTTATGCTATTTTCACCGCTAACTGAGATTTTAATATTGAGACTCCTTAAACAAATTACTTCATTCATGTCAAAATCCTTGTTAATTTTGTATGTTTTGTGTTCGAATCTATTTTCAAATAAAATTAATTTTTACTTGTTTATATTATTTGAATGTGCTTAAATAAAGTTCAGAGAGTGTTGTACAGTGGTCGCTCATATATAACGAGTTTTGGAATAAAAATGGTATTTAATCCTAATTTTGAGAAATTACTCTTTAAGAAATATTAAATTATATATTTTTCATTTTTCCTTTTTGAAGTTAATAATGTGGGCATTGAACAACTAGTATTTATGTATTTTATGGCACATAAGAACTCTTGAACCAATGTAACCGACTATTATAAAAGCCTGTAATTATTTTGTAATAATAAGCTAAAGGCTTCCTTATAACTTTTTCAATAATCTAGATGAAGTTAGTTCCACTTCTAAATATCAGATATTGCAATTATATGGAATATATCAATTTTTTAAAATCACTTAAGACAAATCAACAAGGATTCACAATGCTATCCATTTTTAGAGCTACGATTGAAAGGCCAATGACATGCGACCAGGTTCAATGTTTGTTGCCATTAATTTTGCCGGAAATATTTGTTTGATTTTACCAAATCAAAATGCTAATGAGCTCTTCTGCTTTGGTGCAGTGCGCTGATTGCGATGTTTAAGGCGGTTGCTTGCTTGGGTGGGCTGCATCGATTTGCGTAGATAAATGAGTGTGTACAAATATGTACAATATTTTATCAGATTATTTACCTTTGAACCTTTATGGGTGGATGTATCAGCAGTGTGACTTCTCAGATTTTGTACGCCTCTGGAATTTTTAATGCCAGTCTAAGTGCCACACTCCCGACGTGATGGCTTTAAGGCAGGCAAATCTGAAAAAAATAACACAAAATGCCTTAGGTTACAGACGCCTAAGACTTGAAGTCAGGCTGCAACATTAGATGGAGACGCCTTAATTGGGTCAGTTGGCTGCAGCCTTGAGTTGAAATCAAAACCATGCCACATGCGTCACCATTTTGATTCTTTACTCATTATGCAAATTGCGCATACGACGTGTTCGCTGCTGGGCAACAGAAGGGCACCGCACTATCACGCATACTTGTCTGTGGAGATAATGTAGTTGGCAAGCTGTTGCATGCGATAGGCAAGGACAAGACACACGCACTTGCACATTCAGACGTACAGTGACTACGATAAATATTTATTTATAATATATATAATTTTGATTATATAGTCAGTCATTATGACTTTAATGTGAATTGCCTATCATTAATATTCTGGCTGTCACCTGTTTAGCGGCCTTCAAATTAAAAGCAGCTGCCTGCTTGGCAACTCGTGTGGGCAACGCTGATGGCGTCGGATTTGGGTTAACTGATGGACCTGGGGCCACTTTCGGAGGCTGCCGCTTGCCGGCAGTTAATGCTTGCTGTTGATAAAACATCTTATCGTATTCAGATTTCATGCATAAATATCGAAAGTGGCGTGTGTTCTCCTCCCCATAGTGGGTCACCTCTGCAAAAGGCTAAGTGTGAGAAGGCGTTTTCAAGAAACATGCATTTACCTACTGTTGGTAACTTCACTTTGCAGCTTGCCCAAATTTTCATTGGTCATCCTCAGTTCATTCGAAAAGCGTTCCGTTTTGCCAGCCAAGTCGCGAAAATTTCGTGTAACCACTTCGGAAATGGTTGTCTAGGAGAAAGATAACTGTAAGATTAGTTTATTCGCCTAGGAGGCATATACTTACTCTAACGGCCTTCCTCACGGTCTGGCGTATCAGCTCAAAGAACTCCTCAGGATCCTCATCCTTATCATCGTCATCAGTCTAAACGGGCATGCTGCTGCTGCTGATGTTGATGTTGATGCTGAAGCTGTAGCTGATGTTGCTGCTGAAGCTGATGCTGCTGCTGCTGATGCTTCACATTCGGATGCATATGATGCATTTGATGATTATTGTTTATACTGTTGATGCTCGGATGAGCCAACTGCTGCTGCTGATGCAGCTGGTGCTGCAGCGGATGTGAATGCGGCTGGTTCTGGCTCACATGCAAATGCCCACGTGTTCGACGGGCACTCAAACTGTTCGTGTTCTGCAGCTGTTCCTTGTCCGAGAGCTCCGTTAGATTCGGCTCCAGTTCTGGATTCTGCCCGTAGACTGTGCGCTGAGTTATTTGCATGGGCATCGACTTGGCAAATGGATGGGTATGTGGATGTGGACGTGTGTGGCAGTTGGCCTTGCTGTCCTGTGGCACAAAATGTAATATATATAATTTTGATTATATAGTCAGTCATTATGACTTTAAGCCTTCTCTTCGTTAATGTGAATTGCCTGTCATTAATATTTCAATAGTTTTTATTTGTACCGCAAATTAATTTAATTTCTAACTCTCACTTGCTTTATCTTTTAATCTTTCTTTTTCTCTAACTTTGCCTACAATCCCTCTGCTCAGTTACTTTTTTTATTTACTCTGCCTGCCTTTCTCACTCCATTTCTCTATCTTACTCTCAGTGTAATAGATCGCCTTTCTATGCGATATTCATTAATTCAAAATTCAGAAATTTGCATGCCTTGATTAATTATGATATTTAAAAGAACTTGATTATAAATTGGTCATTTTCGACAACTCTTTTCTACTGGTTCACATACTTATTGTATATACTGTAACTTATGCACCCTCACACACAGAAACAAGTCATGCATTGCTAACGTCTGTCAACATTTTGATGACTTATGATTTTCTATAGCAGTCTGGGCTGCCGCTGAGGCTGGGAATTGGTTGAAAGTTGAATGGGTTTCATGCTGCAGTTGGCCACAATTCCCGATGTGTGGTTAGATGCGTGTCTTTGTTTGTGTGCTTGGTCCTGTTGCCTTGATAAGAATGCGTCCACACAATTGTTCATTTCTATTGCAACGTTTTGTACATCATCATCCTCGTCAGCCTGTCCATAATGCGCTCAGAGCGGTCTTTATTTGCATATTTGCATGTCAGATGCAGTTCTGTTGTGTTTAAGTATGTGTGCAGATATTGTCCTTGACAAGCGAATTGCTCTCACTTATTATAATCAGCTTGAGTCCTTCAAATGAATTGTTGATTTGCTTGGCTTGTGGGCAAATTAGCTGTTGATTCCAATAGCTTCAAAAATATCATTACTGGCATTTAAATAGATATTACACATAAGCAGTCTTAAATAATGGTATACTTAATTTTATGTGACCAAACGCGCATTATACATGCTTAAGGCGCAAAGACACTTCTGATACATATTTAGCATCCCAAGTTGATATCATAAATCTAACAAAATGCGTACAAAATTCCCAAGCAGTAAATTGTCGCGTGTTAGGTCTTAGCCAAAGAAAATAAACAAGTACATGGCTAAGTAGGTACATATATTCGCATTATTAGCAGGCCAATTAGCAGCTAGATACGCATGTAGGTATCTCACAGATGCATAAATTTGTCAGCTGTCGTCGAGATCAACATATTTATCTTCATAAAACACCTACGCGCCTTGACGTCTTAAATTATATTTTACAAAATGTTTCAATCATTTTCTATTTATTTTTATTGAAAAGAAAACTTGTTGCGGGGTCTTCTATTCATAACAGAATTATCACCGTGAACTAATATTATTTAATAAAGTATTAAAAAGAAACAAAAACAGTAAATAATTCAAAGAAATTAATACTTTTTTAAAATAATAAAAACTAAAAAAACAAAATAACATCTAGGGTATTGCAAACACGACCCTAGGCACATATACTTTACAATTCACATTATCTCATATTTATAAATATATATATATATAGATATTCCTTTTTCATGTGTGGCCAGCAAGTAAATAAATTCACGCGTTTATATTTGTTTAATTTAAGCGCTTTTTATTGTTGTTCGTCTGTTGTTTAAAACATTCCCACTTGACAGGCGAACATGACGAGTGTCGGCATTCATCGTAGTCGCTGAAATTGTTGTCTCATTTCTCTGTGCGCTGTGCTTTATGACTAAATGTGCGAAATAAATAAATACAACAATAATAAATTTGCCTGCAGATATTGGAAAAAAAATAAATAAATAAGGCGCTTCGTTTATTTATGCGATGCTGCCAAAGTTTTTGAATTGAGTTTAAATGCGATATTCATAAACGCAGCTGTTGCCATTTTGTATGCAATAACAAATTGATCTGTTTGGCTTTGATTGTTGACGATTATTTGTATTTTGATAGCTTTTGCTCATGCATTCATAATTTAAACCAAAAACAGTAAAAATAACAACAACTTAAACTCAACTACTGGTATATCACCCACTTAATGGGCTTATGTTTTGACGTTTGATATTTCTTGAAGATCTGTCGCCATTTATGCATGGCTCTTCTGTCGTGAGACACCAAAGTAGAATGAAATTAAATGCATTGGTATTTGGGTCAACATTTTTGCGTCACTCAAATCAATTATAGTCATAAACATCAAAAATATGTTTGGATAAAATAAAAAAACAAAACGCGGAAGTATGGACGAAATGAAATGTTTACTTTAGATTTTTATGTTCGTATGTTTTAAGAGCATCATAATACCTATTTCTGGATATTTAAAGAGGTGTTTTATAGTCAACAAATGAGCAAATAGTAAAAGAGAACTTAAACACTTTAGGCATATACTACATATATATAAATATGCTCAAATGTATTCATAATACAATATTTATTGTACTCATAATAGAATTTATATTGTCTTTCATCTAGCATATGTCGGCATATGATCTAAATATTTAATTTAAATTTTAGTTGTTGTTTTAATTGTGCTTAGCAACAATTTGATAAGAAAGCTTTTAATGTTGCACAGTAAGTTGCTATGCAAAAAGCTTAATGCTGAGCAACATTTTGTTGCACAGCAAATGTTGCTGACAACGCAGACAACTCAATTAAATGCCAGAATTATTACAAATATTAACTCAACACTTGAAGCACTTATCTTGGCAATGTACATCCCTATCATCAAGTGCAGTGGCAGCAACTGACGTGCAACATTCAAGTGCAGCAACAACATATTAACAAGCAACATGTGCGCAAACCAGTTGGGCAACATAAACAAAAAACAGCTGTTTATGTTTCTGCTTCAGTTTCTGGCGCCGGCAAAGCTTTCTGAAGTGAAATCAAGCAGCGACGACGCCGACGCTGCACAGTGGGTCCTTTGGGATATTCTTTGTTGAAAATATATACAATGATGAACAAATTATGCGCTCTAGCATTTGAAATCTTTTAAGTTTGTCAGCTTTTAAATAATGAAAAATGTATATTGAAATTTTAATTTTTTAACTTAGAAGCTGGATCGGAATAGGCACTTGTACAATAATCATTTAAAAAAAAAAGTTCGATATATTGACTACAACATATCTTAAAGTACTCAAACAATATTATCTTAAATAAATGGTTGTAAAGTATTTAAATATTGTTGATAGCAACAACGAACCCATTTGAACACATTTTGTTAACAACCCCACTGTGCGTTGACGGCGGCAGCAGCAGCAGCAGCAGCAACACCAGCAGCAAACAGGAAAATCCGCACGACGATGCCACACACAAATTCAGTTCAATGCGAAATTGTGAATGAGCCAGACGGCGAATTTCTTGCGACGAAATGAGGCAAAACTCTCGTAACGGAATATCGCGAAATACTATTCGTAATAAGTGCAAATGAAATGTGGTTGTGTTTTATGTTGCACAGTTGAGCTGCGCCACGACCTTCGGCAGTGAAAGACACAAGCCAAGTGCGACTGCCAAGCGGAAGGACAGTTGCCAAGAGCTAATTGACTGCAACAAGATCAAGATTTATGCACGCGTGCAACTTGGCTACCAACTACTGAAACGTGGCTAAAAACAGTGTCAATTGCAGATTGATTTGCGGTGTTTGAGTGTCGGGCTAAACGGTTTGCAACAAGCCTTTAACAATTAATTGGCCAAATCGCGTGTGCATCTCTGAGATACAAAACGTGCTGCCGCAGACATACGACGATAGTGAAGTGTGCGCGCAGCTGCAACGGCTGCAGCTTTTGCAACTGCCGCAACCGCCGCAACTGGCAGAAACCAAAACTCATCGTCTCCCAAGTGGCAACGGGTGAAATTTTTCGTGACAAATTTGCGAAATTTGGAAAATTTGCAAAACTGAAGTGCAAATCACAGCTTGTTCGCGCAAATTGCCGGCGCTTGTTTAACACTCTTAACAGCAAGCCGAAACTCAAGCCCAAATTCAATTGCAATTTCAATTGCAAACTAAACGCAAACTCAATCTGAATTGCAATTGCAATTCATGCCACGGCAAATAGTTGAGTGAGTATCGCGCGCATTGCCATTGCGCAATTTATAAGCGCCATGCCTTGGACTCAGATTTAGCTCTTAAGTATCTGTTCATTTTACATTTAGTTGACAGTGATTAATCTTAACATTTGCATTTGAAATGCAAATGCCGTGCGAAAAATCAAGCAATTAATTCAAATGATTGCCACATATTTGTGTATCTATTTCACTGGCTAATACAGTTTATTTAACTATTGTGTCTTAAATGTTGTCGAAAGTTCAAAGTTGTTTACCAAATTAATTTACAGCACACAGCTAACACTTTTGAACTCAGAATGCAATTTGAAATGCGTCTAAATCATTTTGAATTGTTCATTGAAATTTCCATATGCATTTCGAGCTTCTGAAAACTTTCATTTGTAATTTATGTGCGTGTTTTGGATCGAGGCGGCAAAAGTGGAAGCATATTGGTTTTTTGATCAAATACGCATGTTGGCATATATATAAAAATTGTTGGTGCAAAGGAGAATTTGTGAAATTTGCAATCA